GATGTGCTCCCACCAAGGCACACTGTGCTCAGGGTTCACCTACCCCTTCCCCTCGTCTGCATCTACTATCCACTTTTTCTTTGTACCATCTTCTCTGCTGCAACTCCCAACCCTTCCCTTCTCTCCTGTTCCATCTGCTGAAGGTATCAGTGATGGAACAACGTGCATTCTAGAACTAATACTCCAGCGTGATGGAGGGAGGGACAGGATCACATACCTCTCAGACTTCTGCAGAATTGGAACATCAGTGGGACTGGCTCTGACAACACTCCTTGCCTACAGTGTCACTTTCCCCTCACAGGAGGGTTCTGCAATTGTACTCGGGGTTAGGCTGCTGTCTGAAGGTAGCTGCCTCTAGTAACAAAGGGCTTTCCATGAATTCAATCATTATCGTACTTCACGGAGACGGTTGACAGCATGGCAATTACATGCCATCCGCCCCCAACCCCATCTCATCTGGGGCCAGCCCAGTACTATTCTCAGGAACAGGGTCCTGGCACTTTGTGCCTACACTTCACCAGACAGAAGCTGAAAAGGGAATGGTATATTCAAGCTCCTGCAGCATGCTGTGCCCCTACAAAGCAAGCAGGGAAGCTCACCTACCTTTTTGTACTCCTGAAGTTAACTTGGTACCCAAGTATGGTTGGAGGCCTGTGAGGTGCTGGGGTAGCTGGGAGTAGACAGAATGGGTTCAAAGTTAAAATCCAAGCCCTCTCCATCCATGAGGTCACTGTTGATTATGTAATCCATGTCACATTCAAGGTTCTCCATGTACATGTCAAGGTCCAGGTCGGTGGGCAGCCTGTCCTGGGTTGCTCCCAAGGGGGCAGGGCTACCAGAAGGGAGAAGTGGTGGAGTGCCCAGCTGGGTTAGCTGGGCAGCAGCCTTCAGAGTTGCCAAGTTGGCTGTGGTCTCAGGAGATGCCACCATGGGAAGTGTGGATGGCAGAGCACCAGCACCAGACTCTGGCTGTTGCTCTGAAGGCTTTCCTCGTGGGTTGACCGGGTTCATCTTGTTCTGGGTGGCTTGTCCACCTAGAAGCAGGAGAGTCGGGTTGTTCAGCCTGCTTCCGGTCTGAGGGAGTATAGGATCCACCTGAGTCATCATCACATCACTGGGAGGTGGAGAGTTGGATGTCAGGAGAGCTTCCAGGGTCTGAGGGCCAGAGAAGCGGCTCACAGGACTCTGCAGAGATACATCAACAGGGTTAAACAGAGAGTTGCCAAAAGTAGAGGCCGGGCCAACTGTACTCTGAGTCCGTAGAGAGAAACTGGAATCTCGTTGGATTGGACCACTCGAGACAGACTGCTGGGTGGGCAGCATGGAAGAACTGGGTGACATCAGGTTTAACCCATCAATGAGTTCAAGCTCCTCGGTCACGGTGGGCGGGACGTTGCTGGATGCACTGGAGAACACTAGAGATGGGAGAAGCTCCTCATCTGGGAGATCGTCCCGCTCGGGCAGGATAGGAGAGCGCCTGGTACTAGCGGTGCTTGCATTGGAGCTGGTTCGAGGCCGGAAACTGGTCCATACATCAGAGTCCTCATTACTCCTTGAGGGGCTTCCAGGCCACTTTGGGAACTGGGAGCTAGGACTGTCAGCAGTAGTCTCTGGAGCTGTTTGGAGTGAGGCCTTCTTCTTGGAGGCCTTGCCTCTGACCTTGGCCAGTTTGGTGCTGTTGTCCATGGAGGCAGCTCTCCTCCTTGGAGCCTTCCCACTTTTGCCACCTTCTGGATTAAGCATCCACCAAGAACTCTTCCCCGTGGCTTCATTATGCACTTTAATGAACTTGCTGTGCAGGGAGAGGTTGTGTCTGATGGAGTTCTGAAAGACAGAAGGGACAGTGTCAGCAACATTTGCACTCGCAGCCCCATCCTTCCCTACAGGAGTCTGACATGCATTCATCGGTCTGCCAGGAACCCAGGTGGAGCATTAAGGGCACCCCTAGCTGCCTGCAGCTAGAGCAGAATGCACCAGCCCTCTGCTATAACCACATAACCAGGCCCTTGGAACAGAGCTAGCAGTGCTCCTCTTATCCCTTTTATCACCCCACCTCCCAGCATGGTTCCTTCTCTTTCCTCCCAGTTATAGGTCAAACTCTCCCCATCCTCAGATGCCTCCCAGCCAGGCTGGGTTCTGGGGAAGTTCTGCCCCATGCACAAATCTCCCCTCAGCCCCCTGCTGCACCCCAAAGTGAGGCAGACATGGGACCAACTGCAACAGAGGATCATACTGCAAGGGGCAGGACCTCGCTCTCCTCCAAGACTTGGCCTCTACCCAGAGCAGCCTTCCCAGAGGCTCAGCAGTTGCTCATGCTTCACAATCATGATGATCCACACGCTGAAGTTCTGTCCTAAGCAAACTCTGACCGACCAGACTCTGCATCAATGTTCTGGATTTAAGGTATAGCTCAACATAACAGTTATATTGGTTTAAGCTGCTTAGATACAACAAGGTTTGGGGGTTTTGCATGCTTCTATGCTGATATAAATATATCTTCGCTACTGGAAATTTAAGTCTGGGGCTGCAAACAGACATTACGTTTGTCCCAGGATAAATCCTAAAAGAGTTTCCCCTGATAAGAACTATTTGTTTATCCAGGGATATTACAAAGTACATCTATACAATTATCCTGGGATTGCATTGCTGAGTTAATGGCAATGCTACATTCAGCTGCTCACTAAACCCCGATTAGAAGGGTGACGTGTGTACACACAAATTCCAGGATATTTTAATTCTGGGCTAAAATAGGCACAACTTATCCAGGGACAAATGCAATGTCTCTTCCTAGCTTGAATGAGATAGATTTAAAAGTTACAGCTGTTTTACTCCTATAGCAAGACAGATGGAGCTGACAGACCGAATGGATAGACCAGCTGGGTGCCCTGAGTGGCAAAGTACCCTCCCCCCTTCTGAAAACCACACCCCACCAAGGGCTCTGGGCAATCCCCAATGGCAGCCAGGAAGTAACCTGCCCATAGGACACTGGGGAAGCATAGAGGAACTCAGAGTTCAGTGCAGGGTTCTGGTGGGAGCAGGAACATTTGCCTTGAGGTGGGTGCTCCCCACTGGCTATCAGAAGGGTGCAAGCTCACTGCTACTAACTGTCCACGCTAGGCAAGTAGCAAGATTAAAGCTATTCCTAACAGGTCCCTCTTGCTGTGTCACTTCCTAGACATGACATCTCTAGTGCCTACCCCAGCTCTCTGGACAGAGAAACCTGAATGACTGATGCCTGCCGAGGACAGCGCAAAGGTGGCAGAGGCAACCACAGCTCAGGGATTTCCCACCCTAAAGCACTGAAAAGAACGTAAAGGCTGTGACACTGCATGAATCCACATGTTGTTGTACAAGACAGGCAACTCTGTCTGTAGCTGGGACTGACACATGCCCCAGTCGGGCACTGAACCCTGGGACTTCACAGCGCAGCACTCCCCTTGAGTACATGGGCAGACAGATCAACCACAAGAATGGGTGGCAGGATGGGGTGATTCCAGATGCAAGAGTAGCCTCATTTCTCAGGCAGAGAGCCATGAGACCACACAGCTGAAACCCAGGGCTGCTGTGCTAGACCTGAGGTCCATCCCAGCAGGACAGCGCATTCAATACTGAGCGTCTGGGGCGAAGTCAGGGTTACGAAGGGCACAGAACCATCACCAGCCAAAAGCAGCAAGCCCACACCCAGCGGGCCTTTCCCCAAGTCAGTGCCCTGTAATTAGGCAGGAGGAGAGACTCTGTGCCCAGTCTGGAGCAGCTGTATGGCTCTGCAGCGAGGCATGCCCTGTGCTAATGAAGCGTTCGGGGACAAGCCAAGAACAAGTTGTACAGAGCAAGACAAACAGGGAACAGTTATCTGCGCAGCTCTGTACTTGCCTGGCTCTGAACTGGGACTGGCAAGAGCAGCTCCCAACCAGGATCTTTCTCCTGGGAAATCCCAAATTTTTGCTGCAAACCACAGAGGCCAATTGGCCTGCTTAAGGACTTCTGCCAACTGAAAACACTGGCCACTCAGACCACTGATGCTCCCCCCCGTGACTCTTTGTTGCCCCCAGCAAGCCCAGAAGGAAGCCCCATGCGTGCTGTATTTCCAGTTTACCGAGGCATTCCTCAAGGGGCTGTGCAGAGAGGACACCTTCCTTGCACACACCTGCCAGCGTCTGTCTCGGCCAGTTGCCAGCTCCTGAGGCTCTGGGGACGGCAGCTTGCGTGGAGAGATTCTGCAGAGTCAGTTACGTTGCGCAGAGCAAACAGCTGTCCCTGCTCCAGAGGCACAGCTCTAATGTGCTACCCAGGAGCCCTCTCCCCCAGGACAGGCACAGCAGCCACGGGATTTACCATGATGCTGTGCCTGATGATGTTGCCTGCTGTAGGGGAGAGCGACAGGAACTGTAAGTGCTTCCCAAAAGGCCAGTGAGGCTGGGCAGGCACTGACCACTGGGATGGACAGCACCAGCCTCTCAGGGGCAGTCTAGGCTCTGCCCTCCTTCCAGAGAAGCAGCTTCTTCCACAAGCAAAGTAGGAGACAGAGAAGGGACACCAACATCTCTGCACCAGTGCTGCTCACAGTGGTGGGAAAGCACTCCCTCCCAGATGGGCTCAAGAGATGCTGGTTTGTGCTGTACTTGCAAATCTGTCCCCTCCCTCCATTACTTCCCCACCCACTTGCCTTTCTCCCACCCCACAAACCTGCTCTGACCAGCTTCCACTACCCACCCCCCTTATAAATTACATCTCTCAGTGTTTCATCTTAGTCCCCTCCTCCAAGCCACAGGGAGGGGTGAAAAGCTGTCAGCCAGCCAAATCAGCATGGAAGAACATGTCCTCTTGGGTTCTTTCACTGCCCCCTGCCCTATAGCAGGACAGAATCAGTCATGTGGGTTTTGTTGATTACTACCTCCAAGTTACCCATCTAGGCGGCAGGTTCACTGAAGCAGCCACCCCTGCTCCTGCCTCCAGCTCGCAAAAACAATGCATTTGGAAATGCAGGAGACAGGAGAACAAAATCCCAGCAACTTAGCCCAGGACAGCTGCAAGAGACAGAAATAGATGGACCACTTCCTGCAGCAGAACTCTTCAGTCACGCCTCATTCTTCCAGAAAACACCTTTTAGCAGCATGACACACAACACTATTCACCTGCAAACCCAAAAAGGCAAAGACTACCTGAATTCAAAGGCAGGTCTTGGAGTGCTGAGGACAGGGAACAGTGGCTGGCTGGGAGCTGGCCACTCTCTCCAGCTCTGTCCATTAAACACTTCCAAGGTAGAGCAAAAAACAGGGCTGACTTCATGTAGAACATGCAGCGCTTCACTGTGTTGACAGGAAGGTTCAACAGGGACTTGGCTACACCCTGCACCTTAAAGCTGCTGGGCATTTGGACAGCCCAGTCTCTTATTGACAGAAGCCTCAAGTCAGAGCAAGGCCCCTTCCGCCTTGAATGCCAGCAATTCCCAGCTGCCTGAATGGGCTCAAGCCCTGGCTGAGGCACCTTCTTCCACCCTAACCCCAACTTATAAATCTGGGCTCAAGGTCAGCCAAAATTAAGCTTTGCTCAGCACAGATGCAGCATTTAAGTTTTCCATTTCCTTTGGCTATGTGGCTTTTAGGTCCTGTGTGAGCTATGCCTCAGCGGGTGGAGGCTGAGAAGCATTTCTAGCTTGTTTCCAATGAAGCCATGAAACTAACATCATCAGAGGTCAGAACTGAACACGCAGGCAAAGTCCTCCCACCAAGAGATGTCCCCAAGCTGGAGCAAACCAACTCCTGTCCAAGCCCTTCCTACTACCTTGGGCCTTGACCAGCCCTCCCCAGAACCAGTGCTATTCTACCAGCCTGACTTGGCGGCTCAGGAACCTGATGAACAAGGCTGTACTAATCCTCTTTACTGCACAGTACGAACATGTCCACGCCCCAGGAAAATTGTTCTCCCTCAGCGCCCTGCGCTAACAGAAGATATCCGGTCAATGCTCAGCAGGCTGAGGGAGCTTTCCGGCCGTACCAAGATAAACCTGCATCTTACGTTCACCCAACTGGAAGTCACTTGTAAGGGTGCCCTGCATGACTGACACCCCAGCTCTCATCTACAGCAGGAAACTGTAGAGGATGAAGCAGGTTTCCTTTCAGAACGAAGCACCAGATGGCCACGGGAAAGCCAGCTGCCCAGCACTCTGATAGAAGGGCAGGCACACACAGGTCATCCTTCACATCAGCGGCTCTCCATCTAAGAGGGGCAAGTCTCTCCTCCCACCTCACAGGGGCTTAGACACTATGGGGATGGAAGCCAGCTCCAGTCACAGGCACTGGGCACAACATTATGACAGCCTCCCTCCCAGGTCACCTGGGAACCCAGTTACCGGCTACCACCTACCTCAGGTTATATACAGTGCAATGCATGCTTGCAGGACTGAATGTGACACTCCATAGTAGGATGCTGACCAATAACAGAGCCACAAGTCACTAAGACAGTGATCCTCAGCCAGGGTGCCAGAGCATCCTTTTCAGGGGGCCACACCAGAGTAGCACTGTTAAATGCGCAAACACCTACCTACATGTGATTCAGAAGAAACCCAGAGATTTCTATTAGGAACCCGCAGTATCAAAAATATTCTGAGCTGCTGCAGTCAGAGCTAATTGCAGCAGAAGAATTGCTCTATTATTTTTCTGTAGTCAAGAAAGAGGAGCTTGCATGTTCCGAGCAGGGCTCGAGTCTAACAGGGCTGAGAACCATTGCAGTAAGTATCATAGATTTCATAGACATTTGGGCTGGAAGGGACCCCGGAAGATCGTCGAGTCTAGCCCCCTGCCCCAGGGGCAGGAAGTCAGCAGGGATCACAGGATCCCAGCAACATAAGCATTCAAATGTGTCTTGACGGCGTTCAAAGTGGGTGCTTGACCCGCCTCTAGTGGCAGTCAATTCCAAACCTTGGGGGCTCAGACAGTAAAGAAGTTCTTCCTTATGTCCAGCCTGAATCGGTCGTGACAGAGTTTGTGACCGTTCGATCTCGTCATCCCTTGGGAGTATAAGAGCCACCTACCCGTCTTCCCAGGATCTCACCTGAGGCAGGGGTGCATCCAGTGATTTTTATTTTTACAAAAAAAATCTCAAATATTGCACTGGAGCATTAAGATCAACCTGACTGGATTGGCAGCTCAGGAGCATCAAACAATGCTTGGAACAGCTTGTCATTTGGACTCAGTTGGTCTATGACAACAGCAGCACACGGCGTCGTTTGGCTTTGTGCATAAGAAACAGGGTCTTTACTGACAACGACTGAGAGATTCCACCTGCGACAGGGAAGGGAAGAGGCCTGTTTCTTGCTCCCAGGGAAGTCTCTGAGCACTGTCAAAGTGTATTCCAGGACTAGCAGGAAGCATCTCAAAAGTCATTCTAGGGGGAAGGGCAGACAAGGTTCCTTGGGTGAATTTGATATCTTTTATTAGACCAACCCAAATGGTTGGAGAATAGTTATTAAGCAAGCTTTCGGGTTCAAAAACCCTTCGTCAGGCTAAGGAAGCTTCAGCAGTTGGTGTGTGCTGTTCCTGGATGGAATGAAAAGTCTAGGGGGAACACACTGAGTGCTTTGCCCAGGAATGACAGGACCCCTACACCTCCCTGACCTGACCCGTCTTGCACACAGGGAAGGAGACAGCTCTCAGTAGCCTCACACTCCTGCCACAGAGTCCCTCAAGGGTGCTTACCCACTTCTACTGAATAGCGAATAGTCTTATCCAAGGGCCTTAATCCTGAGAAACCATCTGCAGCCAAAAAAACTGATTCCCAGACTGTTAAAGCAGCTTGTAAAGTGCTGAGGAGAGAACTACAGAGAACTCCACGGACACCCACCCTGCTGGAACGCTCCTACCTTTTCACCTCAGTTAATTCTTAACATTAGAGCTGGATTATTGTAGAGACAAGGCAAACTGCACAGCCAGCAAATCTGTCTCATTCTAAAGCCACTCAAGAGCAAAGAGTACCTCCTCCCTCCCCCCAAAAGCTTATATTCACCAGAATACACACGAGTTACACCCTCACCGCATGCAACAGCTATAATTGCTCTCAAATGTATGGTGCCATAAAACAGCTACTAAGGGATTACGATGTAACAATGAAAGATTATGAAGTGTTATCATGGTTACGCAGGCTAAATTAAAAAAAAAAAAATCAACTTTTACTTAAGAATAAAAATTGTACTTTAATTTAAATTGGAAACTGAGAGCCAATGTTACAGCCAAGATTTAATAAGCTATTAAATAAAAGTATTTTACCAGCATAGTTCTGCCCAACCTTTAAAGGAAATGACTGAACTTACCGAAGTTTTTAGCTGAGCACCTTGAACCAGTGTTGGTTAAAAGTGCCTACACAACTCTACCAGCAGCGGCCTTGTCTGTTGCCCCAGAGGACACTTTCTGTCATTTAGTTTATTCAATCAGTTCTGTTCACTACCAAGTTTAGAAGTGCAAAAAGTAGTAACATATGTTTATTTCAGCCTATGAACAGCAAGGTAACAAGACCCTGAGATTGACTCGTTCTAAAAACCTGAAGGACATATGATCCGATCAATCACCCAACTGTTGCTAATATTTCCTTGGTTTAATTGCTTAGCTGTAAATGCTAAACATGCTTTGATAAATTTACTCTT